GATCATATTTTCTAAATTTTCTTTTACTTCTTCCTGCATCCAGGGGAAGGAGGGAGATATGGGGAGAAGCCACACCTAGTACCCAGAGATGAGGAATGGCCACTTGGTATCAACCCAGGGTCCCCACACACCAAGCTTTTCTAATTGAAGTTGGCATTTTGAAGTGACCTTAAGACACATTAAGTGTTTTTCTGAACTCTATAGTTAGGGCTCCACATAATGTACAAAAATAACAGGTCTCCATGAGATAGTCATTAAATAATCAAATGTAAAATATCATACATCAGGTGCAGTGTGTTGGCTTAGCAAGAAAATCCTTTATTTGCCATGCTGGTATGCCTGCACCCATGGAGAAGACATGGAAGAAGCTTCTGGATCTTGGTTTCAGATCAGCTCAGCTCTGGCGGTTGAGGCTGTTTAGGGAGTAAACTAGCAGATGGAAGATTCTCTCTCTGTTTTTATCCCCTTTACTCTCTGTAAATCTGCTAGAGGCAAAAATACATGATAAAATAAAATAAAATACCAAACATGATAGATAAGAAACCCAGAGAAAAAATTTTATTGTCTGCAATGAAAGGAAAGATTTAGTATTCCATCTAGGAAGAATTCTGTGGATACTCTGATAACTCTTATCTTGTTTTACAGGACAAAGATACAGCATTTATTGGTGCAGTAATATTTAAACTGTTCTCATCAAAATATATTTCCACCACCCAGAAAGATACTAAAAATGTCAGCAGCCTTATGGAAAAAGCTTGATAAGCTCTCTTGCATGCACTGTGAAAAGTCTTCTAAGAAATAAAGTACAAATCAGCAAATATTGCTAAGATAATGAGGCCAGTAAATGGGAGTGGTAAAAAAAAAAAAACTTATTTCAGTGTTCTTATTCAAAAGATATCTTAGGGTCTTTTTTTTGTAGAACATAACCATACTGAAGATATCATATCTAATCTCTCAGATACAATGACTCTCTTTAATCCAGAATCCACCACATGGAAGTGTGAGCAAGTATTTAATGTGCACTTCAAAGATGTCTATTTTATTGTGTAAGTCCCACTCATAATATGGAGGATAATCTGTTTTAGCCTATGCATTTAAGTATTAATCTTATCTAAAAATGCCCTCACAGCAATAGTTCTAATAACATTTTAGTATTCATGAATGAAGTTTTACCTTTCCAGATGTAAAATTCATTGAACATATTTGTTCTTCTTCACCGGCAGTTGGGGTATCTCTACCCTGGGTATTTTTGATATGAATGACTTGAACTCTGTGCTTTGTAACAGATTTGTTAAATCCTTTACTCGGGATGTCCTGAAAGACTGCCAGTGCCAGCAACCTGCACGTCAGCCTCTGAGATTACACCTGCAGTTATTGCTTGAAGTTCAGAGCTTCCTTACAGAGCTGCATCAAACAAAACTAGGTTATTGAGCTTGTCCCAGACTTTGCCTTTGGAGCAGTTCTTCTTTTTGGCCTTGTCTGAGGATTTGTTCACCGGGTTGTTCTCTTTTTTGGCCGACTTTCAGTATCTTTCTTGGGTGACTTGTTGATATCCTTCCTTTTCTCGTCATCTTTAAACACTGCAATATACAGAGGGGAGTGACAATCAGGTTTGCAATTAATCCCAAATAATAGTTAATTATCTGAGTACCCTGTGGTCCAGCCAAGATGGCACATTAAGTTAACTATCAGGCCTACACACATCACAGTTTTGATATTCCTACCCTCTTTACGGTACCGACTAACTGTGGTATACTAAAATATATCTAGATGGAGGAAGACCTGAAACAGTACCCAAGGGTGTTTAGTTGAGGGATTTTATCTGTCCAAGAGCATGGTGGCTGTACTGCTAGTTCTGCAGCTGTTTTTCACCTGGAAGCCTACTTATCCTACTTCATGTGGCTAAGGCTAGCACTATGCCGATTTTATTTCTCTTAAGTCCCACCTGTAGCAGTTCCTGGCATATTTAGCAAAAAGGAGTCACTGAAGGGAAACTGGAAAGCAGCTGGCAGGAAGATGGCTCTTGCCCATTTCTGTTTCCCCACCCCCAGTAGCAATGAGGGTTCACCTCACATTCAGATCTCTAATAGCAGCTGTTTTAACTTTGTAAGCTATTCCACACTTTCCAAGATAGGAAGGAGTGAATTTCTTTTCCTCTGACTTGATTAAAAAGAGAGAGACATAGGCCTACTCCTGAATTAGGATTTTATTGATAAAATTTAAGTTATCAGACTGTGGAGAAGGTGTTTACACCAGCTGTTGGGATGCTGGCATCATTTATAAGATTGCCTGGGTTTAAATACCCACTCTGCTTATGATTTCAACTTGCTGTCATTATGCACACTTGAGGCAGCTGGTTATGTCTCAACCTCTTGGACCCCTCTACCAATGTGGGAAATGAACTCCTGGCTTTGACATGGTTGAGTTACAGTTGTTGGTTGTTGTAAGCATTTATGCATCTGACCAGTGGAAGAGTTCCCAGTGTCTTTCAAATAAATAAACACATTGATTTAAAAGCTAAGTATCAGATGGGAAATCGGCCTGGATGTTATCTAAAGCCCTTTGCTTTTAGAAAATTCTGTGACATAACCTACAGAAAAATATAACCTCAACCATCATTCTTGGGTCTAAACTACAGGATCCAATGCCTGACATTATCCTAATAGTTAAAAAAAAAAATCTTAATTTGTAGGCATTACCATGCCCCTGAGTTAGAAAAAGTAACTGGGGCTCATGCAAGATAATTATTTAGCCAGGACAGTAAGAGTTTTCAAGTGGTTAAGGAAGGAAAGAGAATTTCACGGTTGCCCACATTCTAATAATTTTAAGACATGAGACTCTGACATATTTATTTATAGTTCGATACCTGTCAATTACTGTTTTATTTCAATTTTAGCTTTCTTTATATTCTTGAATAAAAAGTAATGGCACTTCAACAACAGTTAATTTTTTTTCATCAAACCCATGAAACAGGCCCATATCCCTCCCTAGCTAAATACACTGATACATTTTGTGCCCTTTAACTATGGGTAAAATGTATCCATTCCATCAGGCTTCTAGGTCCCCTTTGGATTCAGAACTACATGCCCTAGCCCTTCTGCACTGCCTATGTCATTTTTGAAGCTCCCAGGACACTAACCTCTCTCAGCTAACTTTCATTGAGAGTAGTAATTTATTGTATGCATGGTTTTATTCACAACATGTAGCAAAGAATGTTACAGGTGACACATACGATCTTGAAAGAATATGACATCTTAGAAAATCTTAAGCTTTCAAGTAAACTTCCAGTTTGTGATCATAGGCAAGATGGCACAATTTTTTTTTTACTTTTTAAAAAATTAATTACATTGCATTATGTGATACAATTTCGTAGGCTCTTGGATTTTTAAAAACCTAATCCATCCAAGAAATTGCCCTTTTTCATAAGATAATTTACTTGAAAGGCAGAGTTAATCGACAGAAAGAGGCACAGCAAAGAAATCTGTCCATTGGTTCCCTCCCAGAATGCTTGCTAGGACTGACACAAGCTGAAGGCAGAAATTCTATCCAAGTCCCCCATGTGAGTATCAGTGTCCCAAGAACTTAGCCCATCCTCTGCTGCCTTCTTTGATACATTCACAGGAAGCAGGATCAGAAGCAGAGTGGTTCAGATTCAAACCAGAGCTAAATAAGATACCGGGCTTGCAGGCAGTGGCTTAATTTGCTGTGACACAACACAAGCCCCATTCTAAAAACAAATCAGTGATATCCAGCAATACACAAAAATCATTTAGTAAAAATGAATTGGAATAAAAATTATGAGTGACCATTTTGAAACAAACAGCAGTGGAGTGCCAATGAAGTGGGTACAGTGAGCTGTGAAAAGGAGGCACTTGGAGTAGTTATTTCAAATGTAGGAGCTGGGCAATAGAACCAACTGATTATCATTTGATAATTTTGATTAGTTTTAAGAGAAGCAGATTTGATCATATACTAATTAAATGTTTAAATGTTTGAAGGAAGAGGCTATGCAGAGTAAGAACAACTATAGGCTAAAATCCCTGAGGAGACTGAAAGCAAGGAAGGAGTACGAAAACAAAGTTGAAGATATTTGAGACAAGAGGCAGGAAATCAATGTTCTCATTCCAGTAAGATCACACTTAAAACAGTAATAAGCTTTTCAGTTTATGGATGATAAGGAATTGAGGCAGTTCCAGGCTGGCCTTCAAAAGCTGTAGCACAACATTGTTATTAAGAGCATGTCCTCTAGATTGTCTGGATTTAAGTCTCTGTTCATGCTCTTAATAACTATAAATTAGGAAAATCACTTTATATGTCAGTGTCTTGACTTCCAGATGCCAATAATAAATGTATTTCCTGGGTTTACAAAAAATTGATCAGTAGGCAATATTATTCACCCGACAGTGTTGAACATAGCAAACTCTGCATTTGTTGGTCATGGCCAGAGGGCAAAGAAAGGTTGTCCTGTTTCACCTAGAAGTTGCCTCTAATGATGCTGTTCTGAGATTCCTTTCCGAGGGAGGTTTGAAAGAGACACTACATAGTGTATAGACGAGCTTATGCTACAGTAAGGAGCCATGTTAGTTGGAGACTGTTTATTGATTGGAGTCATCTTTAAATCTCCCATCCCCTCTTTCAGCCAGGTATACAGAGATGGAAAGAAGGCAGACTGTGGTGTCAACGCAATCAGAAAATGTGATGGAAGAAAAATGAGGGGACAGGACTGAGAATCCAACAGGAGACAGGCCAAAGTGATAGACAATTTAAGCTAAATATGTTAAGAAATTGAAGGAACAGTTTCAGCAGAGAGAATAGAGACAAAGGCTAAAACACACGGAGAGATGGTGTTATGTGGTTTTCTAAGTAAGAAGAACAGGATAAGAGTTTATTATCATTTCCTAGCACTCATAATTCTTAGACATTTTGTGAATGAGTAATAGCTTCCCTTTCCCACCAAGGGGAAGGGTGGAGCTCAAGAGATCAGAAGAGAGGATTGTGATGGGGCAGGGTGGGGCATGAGGACAGTGAGTGTTGTGTCCCATAGTTACTTGGGACCAGGGTGGAAGTAGGTGCCCCCAGGGGCACCCAGAGGCTCTTCAGCATGTGTCTGCGCTTCTCGGATGATGATCCTGTTCAAGTCAGCCCCGTGAGTGCACCAAGGTGCTTGGCTTCAGTTCAGCCAAACCTGTAACGGCCTTTGCCGTGCAGGATGTGGCTGTCTTGGCCTTCCACATTTTGCATCCAACCACTACATTTGGATTTTGGTGCTTGTGTTGGCATACATTCCTGATGGAATAGATAGACTGGATCCTTGACTGATCTGAGATGAGAAAAACAATCCCAAACAGATTGTTTCAGGGTCAAGTAGGCTTAACTCAACTGTTGACTGTCCCTTTGAGGACATAGCCCGCAAGATTGGGTGAGGAGCAGCATAAACTTTACAGTGCTAGGAAATTGAAGACATTGATTTTGGCTCTTCAAGTTTCAAAAAAAAAAAAAATGAAAACAGGATAGAAGTGAGGGATGAAGACATTTAAAGTACACTATAGAAAGTAAAGTTAGGGGGTGAGAGCAGTTCATCTCCCTGTGACTCAGAAAATTGCACCACACTATTCACCCCCAACCTTTCTTGGGCTTTGAAAGCAGGCATTAAAGTTAGAGTCCTCATGGACAGCAGGTGGTATCACTGAAGTCAGATACCCTCAGAGGAAAAGCGAATCTTTGGATTTCTTACACACCTTTTTCTCCTAGATTATTCCTGCCCGTCTTTGCTTTGTGGTTCACTTCTGGTTCTTCTGTTGCCATGAAAGTGTTCATCCAGATTTCACCTCAGATGTTTTTATTCTGATGCTGCCTCTTGCAGTTGAGATCATATTGATACATCACATAATTTTTTTAAATGTGGCATAAGCTTCATATTATAATAAATAAATCTCCTTTTTTTCATGGTAGTTATATGCCTATGTATTTTTTAACTTTGTATATTGCATAGGAAGGACCAAGAAGACCACATCCCTCGAAAGTCACCGCAAAGCAGGTAATGTTAAAAACAACTGATTTCTGATTGTTTCTCTTGTGGTTAATAACTCATCCCTTTATGTATGGTGATTTCTGGCAGGACAGGACTTGGATCAGCTAGACACATCCTCAGTGTCTTCTTGAAACTCTAGGATCCTAGTATTATTGTTACTAAAGAGGACAAACTAAATGACTTATACTAAAACTGTTTTTTCAAAGTTTTCTTTATTTGAAACTCAGAGTTACAGAGAGAGAAAAAGAATTTTATAGGCTCTGATTCAGTCCTCCAGTGGCTGCGATAGCCATGGCTGAGTCAAGTTGAGGCCAGAAGTTAGGGACTTCATCAGAATCGCCTGTGTGGGTATCAGGGACTCCAAGCACTTGGGCCATTTTCTGTGATTTTTCTAAGGCCATGAGCATGGAGCTGGATTGGAAGTATAGCACCAGAAATTCAAATTGGCTCTTATATAGGATGCTGGTATTATAGCTGATATTATAAATGCTACAAGACCAGTCCCATTACTGTCAGCATTAGCTTAATATTTGGTATGCATAAAGAGTTCATAATAAAGGGTCCAGCGTGCAAGCCTATCAGCTAAATCCTCTTCTTGCGCACACTGGGGTCTTGTATGCATCAGATCATATCCATGCTGCTCCACTTTCCATCCATCTCCCTGTTTGTGGCCTGGGACAGCAGTGGAGAATGGCTCAAAGCCTTGGGAAGCTCCAGGCTCCTGGATTCAGATCAGCTCAGCTACAGCCATTGCAGCCACTTGGGAAGTGAACAAGTGGATAGAATATTTTTTTCCTCTGTCTCTCTTTTTCTTTGTAAGTCTGCCTTTCAATATAACAACACAATCTTTAAAAAAAAGAGATATGATCCACAGAGCATAATAATCAATTACATATTTTTTACTTGATTATTTGAACATTGTGGATATCCTTAAATCTATGTAGAGGCTGCTTCCCCAGCCAGCCCTGTGCTAGCTCTCTGCTTGTCACCTAGTAGTAATCATTGTCTTAAATCTTATTTTTGTAAATCTTTTTCTTTTAATACAGTGGCACATATATGCATTCATAAGTATATTTTTATGTTTTTGCTTTGAGCGTTATAAACATAGGATCACAAAATTCAGTGTAATAGTTACTCTTAGTTCTCATGGCTGTTTCCCAAGATTTTTATGTTGCTGTAATTTGTTGTAAAACATATCAGAGCTCATTAGCCTCTTCTGTGTATGGACACTGGGTTGTTTCCATATTTTCCTATAATCAGCAGTACTGCTGTGAACATCCTCATGCGTATTTTCTTTTGCCACACACAAGCATTTCATTCTCTTACAAAAAGAATGAACGGAATGACTGAATCATGGGGTAAGCAAATGTTTCCATTTGGTGCATCAGTACCTGATTATCCTCAAAGCAGTTTTACAGATGTTTCCCCTACTATGCTGCTGTATTTTGTTGCCTACAGCAATTTCTAGTTTGATTCCTCAGTTCTCAGTCATTTGTAGATGCCACATTATTGTTGCAAAAATAATCATGTGTGATATTCAACATTTAAAACGGCCAAAATGCACACTTCCTTTTGTATCTTCTAATACTTGATGCTTTTAAATGAGTGTTCGTTTTAACAAAAATAAACACAAATGTCCTAGAATCTGGCTCTATGCACAGTGATGCACTGAGAAACAGCAGTAAATGTTCATTTGAAAACTCTGATGGACCAATTTGTCTTTCTTTACTTAGGAAAAGTTGCTCTTTATTTTCATATTTCTAGTAGCCTTGTAGATTATCTTTATAGACTCATCATTTCTACTGATACACACCAAAACTATAACCAGTTTTTTAAACCTTTGTATATTATAAAAATGAAAATGTGATTTGAGTTTCTCCCCCTGAAAGTCTACAGATAAACGTATTCAGCACATGCAAAACATCAAGAAGGAGAAGAGGAGGTTAAGCAAACGATTCGCAAGGCCTTCTCCTATTCCAGAGCCAGGACTCCTGGTAAGTACAGGGATTAACTGAAATTAGAAGATCCTTAAACAGAGTTGATATCCTTGTTTTTAAATGATGGATTACTGACGTAACTTTTGTTTGTTCCTTTTCCTTTAGGAAGCTTAGAGTTTCACTCTTGGAAAGTAACTTGAAAATCCTTGTTAACATTCTCAATATTTAAATGCTTTTTTAGCAGTTATCTCCGGAGTTGATCTGATTTAATGAAAATAGCATGGTCTTCATAAGCATGTTGTGATAAATTACAATCTTTGTTTTTCTAAGTGTTAGCTGACTGTCAATGCTATTAATTTACATCTTTTACATTGCATTATTTGGAAAAGAAATTACATAATTTCCCAATAATTAGTTGGTCAAACTAAGATTGATCACTAACAACGTTAGAAAAATATCCATGATAATAACAACTTACTACATCCTGTATATCTTTCAGAAGGGTTTAAAATATCTAACCAGAATACATCTTATTATATTCATGAGCTTTTTACAATATGATGTTAATTATATTTCTTGTAGTTACATACGTACCAAATGTTGCCTTTCATTTAATTTGCCTACAAGTGTTTGAGGTTGATTATTACTCAACTAACAATGTGTTCCTCATTCCCAAATATTAGAGATTTTTCCAGCTATGTTGCTGGTTGCTGATTTTGATTTAATACTTATTGTCTGAGGACCGTCTTCACAGGATTTGTAAAACTTGTATTTTAATGACATAATTTTTATGTCTCTGGTGAATGTTCCATGTAGTCTATAGAAAAAAAATTGTGTTACACCACTGTTATATAAACTAACTGGAAATGTCAGTTGGTCCTCTCCTACTATGCTGATATTTTTTTTCTCATTATGTCAATTTTTTTTTCCTGAGATGAATAATGTTACTCAGTATTTTGTGTTATTGTTATCATGGCATATTCTTCTCCATCCTCCATCATAAAATTGCTTCTTCTGTTTAACCACTTTGAAATAGCTCATTGATATCATTTCTTTTGCAGTGATTATTGATATATTTGGATTCATATTTGCCTTGTGTTTTATTGTTTTCTACTTGTGACTACGTTTTCTGTATCATTTGTGTCTTCCCCATTCCATTGTTTTTCCATCATCTTTGTTATTAAGCATTTTATACGATTCAATCATCTGCCTTGCTGTAGAATATCAACAACAACTGTTTGGTGTTTTTACTTTCTGTATTGTTTCTCTTGCATTTGCAATAGAAATAAGTTCATATTAAATGATGTCGTGCTATTTCATAGGTGAATAAAGTACCTCATAACAAAGTATTGCTACTATTCTTCCTTCCTGGCTACTAACACACTATTGCCGTTTCATTTTTCTGTAACTATAGTCTCCATAAAATAGGAGAGTACCTCAGAAGGTTTTACAAAATTAAATATAAAAGGTATTTGTTTTGGTGCCAAAAAAAAAGCAATCTTTGCAATACAAGAAGTCTTCAAAATGTTGTTGGAAAATGACAACTGGAAGACAATCTTGAATGATTTAATCAACTTTGTGACAGGTAAAGCACCTTTTAATTTTCCACTTTTCCATGAACTTTCAAGTACCATCACATTGTTGCTATTTTTATTTTGAACAACCTACACTATTTTGTAAATTTTAAAGTATCCCTCTTCCTTTTTGTGTAGAGATCCAAGTTTCTCTCCTGTATCATTTTCTCTTTATCTGAAAAGCTTCTTGTAACATTCTTTGGAAAGCCTATCAGTAACAATTTCCTACAACTTTCATTTGGGAAGTTTTACTTATTCACTTTCGAAGGACTGCTTCACTGGCTGCAGAAGCTTGCTTGCTGCTCTTCATCTCTCAGCACTTTACGTAATTCGCTCCACTCTGCCTGCAGGTTCTGAAGAAGACTCCCATCGAATTCTTTCTTATCCTTATTCCTACCCAGTTAAGTTTTGCTACCATCTTGCCCTAGACTTTTTTCAAGATATTGTCTTTGTGGTTTTATGTTTTATATCATTAACTTTCGAAAGTTCTCATACCTTACAACAACAATTTTTTTTTCTTTTTTTCTAACACAATTCTTGCATATTCCCCTTCTTTTATGCTCTTTTCATTTTCACTGTGGATACTTCCTGTTACCTATCATTAAAAGGCTCACTGCCAGTTTTGTCCACTGTGTACAGTCTGCTAATAAGCCCTTTGTGAGATTTTTATTTCCTTTGGATTCCCCTTTAGATTTTTTTTTTCTCACATTGCTGGCTATTCCTCAATATTGCTCCCTTTTTCTAGTGGAGCTCATACCATGTTAATGAAAATCAATTTCATTCCACGCATTTGCTTTTAGATATTGTGCATGCTGGTGAATTGGTGTCTCTTGGCACAATGCCAGCTAAGAACAGTGAGTGCTGGCAGATTTTGCAATGCTTACCTTTCCTCTTCTGATGCAAACGAAAGAAAGTGATCTCTGAGCTTCACTATAAGATTGATGAAGTTCCTGGAGATAAAATTCTAAAAAGTAGGGGCCATTTCCTGAGACCACCCTCCAACCCTGATTGTAAGCTTATGTGTACTGGACCTCCATGGGTTCATCGATGAACTTTAAGTGTCTTTATATTGTTATTGTCTCAACAGCAGATTTGTATCCCTGATAAACTATGATATTCTTTTCCATTTGCCGAACTCTCCAGTTTTCAGGGAGCAGGGACCAGGTTAAAGTTAATTCAGTTCTCTGATGGTTACAAGTTTAAATTATTTTCATTTTGTTCTACGTTGTTTTAATTTTAGAATAGAAAGAGTGATTTACTAGATCTATGGATGTCAGATTGAAAACTTCCACTTGTATTTCTTTGGTCAAAACTGGGTTATTGGCTGCCTGAACCTGCAAGTGAAAAGTATTGATGTGAAAAATGATAGTGACTCCCTGGCGACCCTTAAGAGAAGTGAGATGCTATCAGTTAAAAAAAAAAAAAAGTTCCTTCCTTTTTCAGACTGTGGTGAGACTTTTTTTATAACTTAGCCATCTACTCAAGCTTCTGTAATAAAAGTGTATTATGAGTTAGAGTTCAGTTCATTGGTTTGCTTATCATTTGTCTTTGGATAGACAAGGTGCTTATGTATTATCATCTAGAAATGCAGAATTCCCAAGTATCCACCGTGCATGTACTGTCTAATATCGACAGAATCCCCTCTCCATATTTGTAATTCCACTTTCATAATCAGGAGCTGATATTTAAGTATTAAAATATGTCCAAGCAGCATATTTTATAGCTGCACAATTTACGTACAATGATGTATCAGAATGATGTATAGAAAGAATGATGGATATAAAGACATTTCTAAGAATGCCTTTGTAGAATGCAGGTCAGTGGACATCACTTTTGAACTCTTTCCCTCCAGATTTCTGCAGTATTAATAATCTCTAGCTGTTTGCTTTTTCAGATATCTCACTGTACTATCATCTCCTTCTTTCATGGCTCATCCTTTAGTAACAGAATATTTAGAGTTTCTACTTAAAAAAAAAAGCAAAAAATACAATAGCCTCCTCTGTGTCTCTTAAGGTTACTTATGATTTTTAATAGAAAGTAATGTAAAATCACTCTATTTCAATCACCCATCCAATTAATTTTTGCTTTCAGCAATGACTGAAATGTTTCACAAAAAAAATACAATATATATGAAAATTCTGATCTCAAGCTAGTTTTTCAGGGCTTTCAAATCTGATAAAAAAATTCTTGAGAGTGCTTTCATTTTAAGCACAATCAAGTTACTGTAACATATAAACAATCAGATTATTATCGTAAGTGAACAATGATTGCTTCGATTATTATACTAACCTTGTCTCAAAGAGAGTATAAGATTTGCACAGGAAACTGGACTGCACAGGATGAAGCTGCGCTGCAATATGCTGGTTCTTCTTCTAATTCTTCTTTTACCCCCTTTGCAAACTTTTGTTCCAAACAGTGTCCCCAAAATTTTGCTTCTCTCTTTTTTGTTGTTTTTGGCTGAAGTTAAACGTTGACTTCAGGAAAAGAATGCAATGGCCTAAATTAATTTTAAATGACTTTTAAGGCTAATAGAGTGTTGAATCCATAGGAATGCTCTATTGACAAAGGAATTACAGCTCTTGGAAGGAAGGCTAGATCACATAGTTAGAACACAGAGTTGTAAAAACTTATCAAAGTGTTTTTGTATTTGTGTTTGTCTGCTCTATATAGCAATAAAATAATTGTTAGATGCATTTTTAAGTTATCCTGAAATATTTTAAGGTTAAATTCTTGATATTTGTTATCATTCCCTTTTCATTTTGCTTTTCCTGTTATTTACTAATTCTGAGTTAATTTCAAATTTTCAATATTATCAGTATATACCTAGTCATTGCTTTATCAGTAAAACACAGAACATAAGACTTGAAAATGAGAATTCCTACAATATTTCTGTTGCAGATTTTATGTTTAGAAATGATATATTTCTTTCTCTGAACTTCTGTTTTGGGCTTCTGAAAACTCTTCATACGTTCGATATTGCATGACTCACAGAACATTAGTTTCTATCATACACACCTTCATATATGATCTATTTGATTAGACTGCTTTTCCTATCAGGCTTCTGTCTGAATATAATCTTATTTCAATTTAAGTTACCATTGCTCTTTAAAAAAAAAAAATATGCAGAGTGAAGGAGAGACAGAGAGGAAGATCTTCCATGCATTGATTCACTCCCCTAGTGGCTGCAACAGCCAGATTTCTGCTGATCCGAAGCCAGGAGCCCAGAGCCTCCTCCGGATCTCCCACGTGGGTGCAGAGTAGCAAGGCCTTGGGCCATCCTTAACTGTTTTCCCAGGCTGCAAGCAGGGAGCTGGATGCAAAGTGGGGCTGCTGGGATTAGAACTGGTGCCCATATGGGATCCTGGTGCACATGCAAGGAGAGGACTTTAGCCGCTTGACTACCACACCAGGCCATAGAATAAGATGTCTAACAAACATGATGGCATATATTGTTTGTATAAATGGTCTTCTCCCCAATACATTTCCAGATAATTGATAGTTTGAGTTTACTTTATATAAATTTAATTTTTGATGTGTTTTAATCCTGTGTAGTGGTCTGGATAAAGCTGGAGTCTGCATTGAAGAAACCATGTACCAGAGTGAATTTATGGCCTTGGAAATACAACTGTGTGCCATGATTTGACTTCATGTGAAAAACAAAAGCAATACTCTGCAATTTCAGCAAAATAAACATGGTTCAAGCAATTTACATACAAACTATGGCCTCTAATATCTTATTAAATATCACTCCACTACCACTTTCTTTTCAGTGGTGAATTTGAGGTTTGTTTTTATTGTTGTTGTTATTATTATGATTATTATTTTGCTTTGATAACCAAGAAGGGTACATGCCCATTGGACCACAACTAGAGTATGAAGAATCAAGAAATAGTGAAAAATGGACAAGACCATTGTTTCCAATTTTTTTTTCTTCTTCATGTATCTGGAGGAAGGAGAGAAGCTACACCTAGCATACCAACCATGTCAGTACCTGGAGATAAGGGGACAGCCACTGAATGTCATCCCAGAGTCCCCAATGTGGAGCATGGTCCGAAGATAACACTCAAGTGGTTACAATAATTCTGAAATGCTTTTGATTTCATTGTTTCAGCAATGAGGAAATTTTTTCAAGTTACATTTGGTGACATAATCCAATTTATAATCTCCATTTGCCCAGATACCTGCTGTCACCCCCTGGCCTGGAGAGCTGTCCAAGGGACTAAATGTCCTCTGCAGGTTCCAATGAACAACCATCTTCAACAACTGAGGAGACTGAGTTTTGAAACATGTCCTCCATGATCAGACCACAGATCCTATGGATTTACTCTTTTGCTGGAGTTCTGAGTTAGGAGTCCAGTTAGGAGAAGTTCCCAAGGGAACCTCACCAGACGTGACCCCAGACCTGACTCCTATGTGTGCCAGACAATGCAGAATCCAGCTGTGTCCCACCTGCATCAGCCTATACACACTGCTGATTGCAGTTTCTGGGCCAGCCCCATATCATGTGCAAACCAATGGATGCTGCAGTTCAGGCAATCCCTGCCCACACACATTCAGTCCTAATGTACACCAGTGGGAACTGCAGCCCAGTCGGAGTTACCCAGAATAATCCTCATCTGGCCAGCCATCAGCCATGATTCTTTTTTTTTTTTAAAAGATTTATTTTTATTATTTTTTCATTGGAAAGGCGGATATACAGAGAGGAAGATCTTCCGTCCGATGATTCACTCCCCAAGTGAGCGCAACGGGCCGATACTATGCCGATCCGAAGCCAGGAGCCTCTTCCGGGTCTCCCACGCGGGTGCAGGTTCCCAAAGCTTTGGGCCGTCCTCCACTGCTTTCCCAGGCCACAGGCAAGGAACTGGAAGGGAAGCGGGGCTGCCGGGATTAGAACCGGCGCCCATATGGGATCCCGGGCGTGCAAGGCGAGGACCTTTAACCACTTGCGCCACCGCGCCGGGCCCATCAGCCATGATTCTTGCACAGGCTGACCTGACCCAACTGACCCTGCTATCCAATCCACACATATGGTGATTGGGCCTACTACTTGTCCAGTCATGCCCAGTCCAAACCCTGGTTCTCATGCTCACCAATGGGAGCTGCAATCAAGAGGGGTCCCCACAATTTTCCTAATGGGTCCATTCCCAGCCCAGGATCTTACACTTTCCAGGTGGTTCTATGTTCTAGCATCACAGGACTTGCCCCTATTCTCAGCACTTGCCAGCTGATGCCGCAGCAAAGTTCAACCAGTCTGCATTTGATCTGGTTCATGCTTATAGCACTGGATATGGTTGTTTAGCCCAACCCAGCTCACATGTAGGCCAATGAGTGTTGTAATGTTGTCCAGACTAATCTGCCTCCACTCCCAGCTCGCGTGCTCACCAGCTGGGGCACTGGCCTAGCAGTGTAGCTCCCACTGTCCCCCTACTAGGCTTGCCTACCCGTCTCTGGGTCTTTCGTGTGTGTCGATGGGTAGTGGTCAGCAGTGATGGATGCTAATTAGCCCAGCTCATGTCTCCCACATGATTAGGTACATCATTCTGGCACAGAAAGATCTTCCAGTTTCCTTCCTCCAGACTACTCAGTCTAAGCCCACTCTTACCTGCAAGTACAGTTGTCCTGTTCGTGGAAGTCCCCCAGAAGTCATTCCTTACCTGCAACATACCCTCTCAGCAGTCCTCCCTCCCATACATCCCATACTCCCTTCCCTGAGCAATACATCACCCCTGCACCCAGGAACACATGGTTTTCCCAGCCCGGTCTTCCAACCCCAGTATTTCATGAGGTGATGTGCTTGATGGTCTGAAGTTCTACCCACCTGACAGGGACCCGAAATCATAGACAGTTCCCCAGATCTGGTCCTTCTACATGAATGCTGACCTGGGATGTAACACCTCCACACACCTGGGACGCAAGCACATGCACAAGACTCCAGCCCTGGTGATGGGGTTAATTGTCAAGGTGAATGTATTCCTGGAACTCTGGAATCTCCTAAGAAACACCTGCATTCTGTCATGGGAAAAGCCCTGCTTTCTGAAACACCAAGAAGCACGCAGGAAATAGGAACGATCTTGGAGTTTCTAGAATTCCAAGAAAGGATGGTTACCTTCAATGCATGCTGTTTACTGACTATGTTGAAGTGATAGGATTGGAATCCTGAGCTTTTGCGTTGTAAATCTTTATCGAAGTAATTGGATCAGAATCCTAAACATTGTAGATTTTTTACCTGCTTTGGCTCTATGTCACCAAATAAACGCTTATTATGTATTTACCCAATATCATATAGCTATTAATTTATTCATAGATAATTGATATTAAAATAAAATTTACTTTGTTCATTGTGCTTCTTGTTCATGGCAAGAGGTGGCCACGAATGCTAAAATCTTGTGTTAGGTTCAGGGCAAACCTTGGGAAGCCATTCTCCCAGTGCTACTACCTCACTGCTCCATGTTTGCTTGTGTCAGAATGGTAAACAGACAGCATTTAAATCCTGAGAAGTCAGACACATCAGTGAGAAAAGAAACAATTTGTCAGGAATGTCACATTTTTGCCTCATGCAATGGACAGGAAAATAACACGTTAATGCCATTTCAGGGAGTAAGGTCTTTCACAGGTTTGCCCAGAAAGACATAAAACAGAGGGACTCTTACCCAGCTGACCAACACAATGAGGGGGTCAGGAACTTTTAAAAACCCAAGACACTTTTTGAAACCCCAGAGTCTCTCCCCCTTTCCTTTCAGTTTCACCCTATCTTCTAGATCTCTCCTCAGAGGGGCTCTCATCTTTTTCCTCATTTTCACATTTGTTTATGAAACTTCTCTGCCTGAAACCGATTCTTGATCCTTGGCTTTTTATTTCTATACTAAGCTGAGGAAGGAACCCATAGAGCTTTGCAGTTGATGACATAGACATTTAAATAACATCTCAACTCTTAAGCTAAATGCCTACCCCTGCATCAGCTCACAGGCAAATGGCTCCAATACAATTACAACCAAAATCCTATTATGTCTGCATGTATGGCGCATGCATGTGGAGGGGCATATATTGAGTGGAAATAAAAGTACTTATTCATATACATATCCAAAAGTCCTGGAACAGTTAAATAATTTTGTGAGATGGATTTATTCCACCTGAAAACACAAAGCATTACTACAGATCAACAGTAATCTAGGCAGTATAGTGTTGGTATTAGGAGGAACACGGAACAAGACAACCACATAGTCTGGGAAATAGACCAATATTTATTCAGAAAATTGATGTTCAGCGAAATTGCCAAAACTCAAGGAACAACAGCTGTTTCAATGCATCATACCCAATAGTCTTTTGGGGGAAATACAGTCAATTATCAAGATTTGACTTTATTACATGAACTATGATTATTTTAAGATAGATTACAGATTTTTTTAAAAAGTTATAGAAATATAAAATCAGGTACCGACATAAACCTAATATGATGTACCTCTATAAATTCTCACATAAAACATTTTAAAATGGGACTCTATCCTGTGGTGTGACACGTTAGCCTGCCACTTACAATACCAGTGTCCCTTATGGACACCAGCTGGAGTGCTGGCTGTTCCACTTCTGATTCCATTCCCTCATGATGCACAAGGGAAAAGAGCGGAAGGTGGTCCGAGTCCTTGGTCCCCTGTAACTGTGTGGGAGATAGGGATGGAGCTTCCAGCTTCTGGCTGGGTGGGAGTAAGAACTTTCTGGGGTGAGGGCAATTTTTACATTTTTCCTTTAATCTTTATTTTAAAGCAAAGTGGCAGAGAGAATGTGTGAGAGAACAAGACAAAGAGAGATCTTCCATGAGTGTGCTTGTTCCATTTCCAAACTCTTGCAACAGCTAGGACGCAGAAAGGCCTCAGTCAAAGTCAGGAACACCAACTATGTGTTCAGTGCTGGTGGCTGAAAGCCGAGTCATCATATACTGATTTCCCAGGTGTGCTTGCAAGAAGGTGCGTCCCAAGTGCACCCCATCCCGGCTTTCTGGTTTTTTTTATTATTATTATTATTTGGTGGTAACATACAAACGCATGTTTGCTAAAACTCAGTGAACTGCATAATTAAAATAGGTGCACGATATTATACGTAAATTAGGTACCATTTAAACATCATTGGTAAGAAAATATGTAAGATGCTAGCAGTAGGTTTGAGATGTTATCTCTCATTCACAGACTACAGTAATGGGAGCTTACCCATATGCAGGGATACAGAAACAATGCAAACGTGTCCGGGCAGAGGGGATATCAGTACCTTGAGCGTCACTGGTGATCTGCTTAAAGCAAATCTCAGATCCTACCCAAGATTCTGCCCAGCATCTCTAGTTAAATCGGATGTCCATCTGAGTCTATACTTATTAAAATCAACAAAGCATTTCATTAAGATATTTCTGAGATGGCACTTTATTATCGCTCTTGAAGGAATAAGTGAATTCCAAATACCGGAAGTTACGGGGACGCTCAGCTCGGACTGCATTTATCAGGCTAGATTCAAAATTTGAGCGTCACTGGGAGGCACCTACTGGTGCTGATGTCAATTCGCCAAAGCCACCTTAACTTCTGGGAAGCTGCAATCGCATTCCACAGAAGAGGCAGAACAGGCATTTTTTATTTTATTACTAGGAGCAGCACGGCATTTGAGAACCACGGCCAAACTTTTCCCATCCTAGCCCGGCAGGTATATCTAGCTAGGCTGGCTCTGCGCAGAGGCCTAGCGCTCCGCGACCGGGGCTGGGCGGAACCAGGCG